TGAGGCAGGAGACTCGCTTGAGCCCAGGGGTTGGAGGTTGCTGTGAGCTGTGATGCCATGGCACTCTGCCCAGGGGGATAGCTTGAGGCTCCATCTAAAAAAAAAAAAAAAGAAGCTGCCTACTAATCTGTGCATTTGTGTACACGTGCATGTGTATATACATGTTCAGGGGGTGAGTCGGGGGAACATGGCATAGGGCTGACAGTGTATTAAGTTCTTATGCATTTTTCTGTTAGAAATATTAGAGAAGCAACATAGCTGTCATGGTCCTTGTATGGAACAGATGACATTCACAAATTGGGAATTTGAGCTGGTTTAATAAGAGGCCTATTTACAAAGATGTGAGTAAGTATGGGAAAATCACCAGGAATAGGGCTCATAACAGTCAGGCACATCACTCCCCCTAGGCCTCAAGTGGGAAGATGAAGGAGGAATGATCAGAACCAGGAGAGGATATTCATAGGAGAAGACCGGACAGGAGCCAAGAGCCTCTGTTAAAGGCTGCAGTCAGCCTAGGGCATCTCCACAGGGAGGGTGCCAGGATAATAAATACCTCCACCTCATTTTCCTCCAGTCTCTTTCTGGCACTATCTGTTGGCTAAACCCAGCTGGAGGCCAGAGGGCAACAGACAGAATCCACTGACACAGTCGATATAGGTCCGACTCCTGGGGCACACAGTAATGTGGAAAGTGGGGAGAGGAGATGTGCAGGGACCATCAGAAGAGACCTGGTACAGGAAATGCACAGACTTCTGAGGATAGTCACATCCATGAAAGGCAGAGAGGAGGAAACAGGCTGACATGAGTAGATGTCATTTACAGCAAGCTAGATGGCGGAGTTGGCTGACTGAGAAGGGTGTTTAACATCAAAACAGGCTTTCAAATAATTGCATCTCTTGAAGATCCTTAAAAATAGGAAACACATATCTATCTTTATGAAATGATTTGGGAGAAATTGTACTGATGAAAGGAGTGTGGGTGACTAAGATGACTTTGAAGGGTCCTTGTAACTTGAGGATTCAGTGTTTTAGGAGGAGTGATGGAAATCAGGGAACAGGATCCCCTGCAAAATATTCACAAGTCTTTGAAATGGAAATTAGACCATTCCAATTTAGGAATCAAATTAAAGCAAATATTCAGGGTGTTAGCAGGCTGTGCTCTGTGCTTGTTTGAAGTGGTGGCTAAAGGAGGGAGGCGTGCTTTTTCCTGGACGAAGCAGGATCTCACTCAGCCTGTTTTCATCTTTACTTAGCACCTGCTGGCTTGGAGTGGTGTCGCCCAAGCAATCAGACAGGGGGAGATGCCAAGAGCCTGACCTCTCTCCCCCACACCCCATGACGGCCTGTCCTGATATAGATGGACAGGGGACTGGTTTAAAATGACAGTCTCAAGTTCATTTAGGAAGAGAAGGCTAATTCAAAGAAACGGCAAGGCAAGCTTCCTTTTCTGTAGGCATAATTATCGTCCCCCTTCACCATGGCCCACCTAGGGGCCCATTTCGCATTTAGGTCTCGCTGGCAGAAGACGGACGATGAACTCTGTCGACACAGCATGTCCTTCATCCTTCATAAAGCCATTCGCAATGACTTCTTTCAGAGCTATCTGTACCTGCTGGAAAAAATTCCCCTGGGTAAGTGAGTCAGAGCTACTAGATAAGGGACCAGCAATGACTGAAGGGCTTGTGTGGGGTTGTGGGGCTTCTAGAAGGGAGGTTAGAACAAGGACACTGTTCAGAGAAAAAGAAGGCACAACCCATGTCAGGGGGCTGCAAAGTTTCAATGGCATTCTTTTGTAGAGAGTGTGAAGATAAAGTGCCCTCCTGGCCCGGACAGTCAGGACTCTATTTTGAGATCACCCTGCACCCTCTGGCTCTGGGATTTCCCTCTCTGGATACTGGTTGCCTGACTATCCTCACAGAATCTCAGAAGCATGCTTTTAATACTTGCGAACATTGAGAGTTAGGCAAATTAGGTAATTCAAAGACAAGGGCATTACTGAAATAATATAGCAAATAAGAGTTAAAAAGAAAGACTAAACATGAATAGATGAAAATATGCTTGAGGTGTGCGTGTGTGCGCATGTGTGCATGTGTGTGTGTGCGTGTGTGTGTGTGCATGTGTGTGTGTGTGCGTGTGTGTGTGTGCATGTGTGTGTGTGTGCGTGTGTGCATGTATGTGTACATTTGTGTACACACCACATTGAACCTTCCCTGGCCTTCCTGAATCATGAGACTCATCAGATAGCCTAAAGGGCGTAGATTTTAGTTTGGCCTCTGAACATTAAGAACAAAGGCGAAGCAGGAGACTCCATTTTTCTTTCCTCCCAGTTTTCAGGGAATTGGAGAATAGAGCAATAAAAAGCTTATCTGTGCTTTTGTCTGTTACTTTTCTCAGCCTCTGTGAAAGTAGTTACTTCAAGGCCGTCTAAGCACCGAGGAGGAAATGACTTACCATTAAAGAGTTGAGTACCCCGCTTTGATTTATTCCCCCCCCCCCCCGTGAAAGCAGGAAGGTTGTGTATCTGCCGGGTCTGTTTTCTTAAGGCTGTCTGAAAGCCCCCTTGTGCACTGGATGCGGCCAGGGTTTCCCACTGTGGAAGAAGCTACATCATTCTTTGTAACGCATTCAAGAGACGGGATGTCAGCAGCCTACCCAAATCTCTTTTTATAAATCCATTTCTGAGGGAGCTTTAATTCTGAACTTGCAAATACCTTTGCCTTTTATTTATACAACTTTCTCGTAAAAATTCTTTTTCGATCTCTGACTTTCCTTCTTGCGGCCACATGATGGTATAGGTAGGGTAAGTATCATGGCTTTTTACCTCTATCTTCCCGCCTTCTCCCTTCCATTTTAATTTTTCAAAGAAGGAAAAAAAAAATCTGGATAAATACCAAAGCCATGACCAAAGTCCAGGACTCTTTCTGGTAGATGGCACTGTGTGTAAGTCATTCTCCTGGGACACATGGTACACCTCATGGATGAGCAGTTCATTTGGAAGGTGACAATATTCCAGTCGCTTCATGCCTTCCCAGAGGATTGCTCTTCTGGAGACGCTCTTTGGGGACATTCCTCAATAAGGGTAGTTTTGTAGGTTTGGCTGCATTAGAATGGAGAAGGATATCAATTGCAGTAATTGAGCAAAGACTCCCTAAAAGGCAAATGTCTGCTGGCCTTTAAAAATATTTACTTGAGAGAAAGAGAACTCAGCTCTGAGAGCAGATGGAGATGAGTTAAAAAGTTAGATTAAAGCAGCATCTTCAGAAAAGTAGATGAAAATTCATTTGGGACAAGTGGACTATATTTGGCCTAAATCCTTTTTTTCAAAACCCAGAAAAATCATTTTAATTTTGTCTGTTTTTGTCCTCTGTGAATGTGGTTTATCAATGATTTCCAACCATTTAAAAAACATTATTATTAAAGGGCAAACTTTTGGATATAATATTCCATGGAAGCCAAATGTAAAACACAAGAAAAGTGAAACTTTTCTGTTTAGGACTGAGGACAGAATTTGTTCTTGGTCTATCCTCTTACCCTCAATAGTGGTTCTTCTCTCGACCTATAGGTAGGTATTATATAGCATATATGTACCTTTATATAAGAGATGTATGTATCTTAATATCTAAGAGATAGTAAATAAGCCCTTAGCTTATTACCCTTAGCCTTAACCTATAGGGTTCCATAAACAGCTTGAAAACCATTAGTCTAGGCCAAGTCAAAGTTTGCTTTATTTAGTTGCAGTTTTCCATAAATAGGCTCTGCTTATTTTCTCTGACTCTGATGAGAAGCATTAGTTTCTCCTGAGAGTCAAAGCTAGCCTCATCCAGTGCCTCTTTGATAATAGAAATCAGGGGCTATATTAGTCAGTATGGACTGGGTTATGGATAGTAACTAATTAACCCTGAAATCTCACAGCTGTACACATAAAAGCTGTTTTCACTCTTGCTACATTATTTTCAACATGAATTATTAGGGGTAGGGTGAAGTCTATATTCCACATAGGTTCCATCAGCAGGAATATCAGCAGTCAGCAAGGAAGGGAAGAGAGCAGCTAAGGGCTTATTTACTATCTCTTAGATATTTTGGCCCTCCCAAAACATGTATGACTTCTGTTTAGAATCTGTTGCCCAGAACTACGAGTATGCTGGACAATGTGAAGGGACCATGTGTATATCTGGTCACTAGTAAATGTTTCTGTCAAAAGGGAAAAATACTGCTTTTTAGAGAAACAGGATGCATTTCTTCTTTCTAATCAGTTCAGTCATATTCAATATTGAGAGCCCCTTAAAGAATTCTTATTATTGAACAAATATTGTGCCCTGGAGAAGAGTCAAACATTAACAAGACACAACCCCTGTTCTTTGGGATTTTATAATCTGGCTAACGAGGCAGATCTACAAATAAATTTGTATTTACCTTTTAAAATTAATGACGCAGGGAAGCCAGACTAACAGCTTTGTGAATACTTAGATTTTATTGCAGCTTTTTCTTCTCATGGCAGAAGCCGAATGTTCAGAAAGGAATCAGCATATAACTGCTGATTATATATGGTATTCTATAAGTTATAATCAGCATTATACTGCCTCTCAGCATGAATGGAGGCCTGAGTAAAGTGGGCAGCCAGTGTGAGTTTTATACAATTCAAGGCTTCCCTTCACTCTTGATTAACTCACTGAAACCTTGGTTTTTATCCTAGGAGATCGTAACTTCTATTTACAGGATGTATTTGCATGTATTCATTCCCCTACTGGACTCTAGTTTCTGGGAGAGGAAAGACTCATCTGTTTTTCCCTCTGCAGGTTTCTAAAGCCTCTGAGTATCATTTCCCTCAAAACTACACAGCTGTTTGAAGGATTAAATGCAGATATATATATATACACAAAAGTAGTCAATCTTCCGTATTAATTTCTTCCTTTCCTTCCTCTGAGCCAGCGCTCTTTAAAAGCCATCATGCAGACTTCTCTAGAACAGACATTACCACAGGCAATAAAGTGAACTCGATATATGGGAGTTTTCAGACTGTAGTGAGTATTATGCTTTTCAGTCTGGAAACAGAACACGGCCCACAGTGATGCTCCCTCTCCAGCTCCGCTGAGGTGTTGGAGACTTGGCTTCCCCTACTCTTGACGATTTCAAGACTTCACAGAAATGAAAACAAAGCCCTTCTTTAAAAAAGGTTGGGGAATCCCTCCCGTAGGGTCTGCACAGAGAGTCGGTTGTTTGGGTTAATTATGGAAGGAACGGTGGCTAACCAGACTCTTTGATGCCTTCTTTCCTTCCTTCCTCCCTCCAATGCCTGTGTTAGGCAGCCAGCCTCACTCCAGCACACTATGTGGCAACAGTCAGTCATGGAGAAATTTGATGAAACATCCCTGGCTGGCTGCAGAGATTCGTGGAATAGCAAGGACACACATACTAACTGTCTGCCGTGAAGCTTAGCTCTCCGGGTGGACGTCACAGATCTTCAGAAAGGAGAGAGAACAAGGCTCTCACTGTTCTCCAGTGTTCTGCCTGTATTAGCGTAGCTCACCGTCACATCCCTATTAAGTGTGCTGCTATTTTCCCATTTCATGTTTGAAGAACTAATGCCAGGAGGAGGAGTTATATGACTCGCCAAGGATCTTGCGGTGGTGAGTGGTAGAGAGGGATTAGAACCCAGGTGTTCTAACTCTGGGGTCTTTTTAGCCACTACATCATACTGCCTCCCAGCGTGAATGGAAACCTGAGTAAAGTGGGCAGCAATTTAAGTTTTACCATGTATTTTGCTTTCACAGGAATAGAAAATATAATCTATAAAGAGGATTAGCTTTCTATTAAGATCATCAAGATAGGCAAGCCAGTAAGTAGTTCAGTTGGAGTCTTGGAGTGAACACATTTTCCGGATGTGGCTGTTTGGGAATGAAGGAGCTAAGGAAATTTTACTTAACATGACAAAATATGACTACTTAACATAAAGATTATTTTAAAATAAAGGCCATTCACAGTCAGAAAGCATTAGAAGGGGCTGTCCCTCTATCCGCATAAAACCAGATTGACCTGATCAGGAGATCAAAGGGGGCAACTAATTTCCCTTCCGCTAGCAGACCTGGCCCAAATCATTTAAAACACAATACCTGTCTCTCAGGTGAATTTACAAGTCAATCTGTTTCCCCCACCTATTCATCCTCCCTAGCGACCACTTCCTGCACCCTCACCCATACTCCACCTTCTCCCTCCCTTCAAAAAGGCATCTATAAAAGCATCTGACCATTATTAAGACGTTGGGTAATCATTGTTGTGGTTTCCAAATACCCATGCATGTGATATTTGTTTTAATTTTTTTTTTTTTTGGACACAGAATCTCACTTTGTCTCCCTTTGGTAGAGTTCTGTGGTGTCATAGCTCACAGCAACCTCAAATTCTTGGGCTCAAGAGATCCTCTTGCCTCAGTCTCCCAAGTAGCCGAGAGTATAGGTGCCTGCCACAACACCCGATTATTTTTATAGATGAGGTCTGTGGCTCAAGCCGGTCTTGAACCTGTGAGCTCAGGCAATCCACTTGCCTTGGCCTCTCAATGCTAGGATTACAGGTGTGAGCCACTGTGCTCAGCCTGTGCATATGGTATTTGGAAATAAACCTTTCTTTTATTAATCTG